AATTATAATAAAATTGATTATAAATCAAAAAATTGAATACATAATTAAATTAAATTTAAAAATAGAATTCATATAGTTCATATAGTTTATACAAATTAATGGTCGATTTGCGCCAATATGCTGCGCCAATGTATAATTTATAATCTTTTTTTTTTTTTCGTAGAAAAAGTAGAAATCCAAATTCTTTCTTCCTGGTTTTTGAAGTAGCAAAGTACTAAGTACAGGAGCAACTCCTGGGGGTACTTTATATTCAAGCAGGTGATTTCATAGCATACAGTATATATTAAGGATACCCCCTCGGGGTAATTTAGGTCACGCCTTATTAAAAAAAAAATGACCGTATTAGGAAATTAACCTGGTACCACATAATTTTATTTGAACTATGATAGTCACATGATATTTTAATTAAATGTATGAAAATCCGTACTCTAAAGTCAAATCGTAAAATTTGACAAGTTACACAACATAAATCCTTTTTTTTTTACAATTTTTTCATCTTATCCATTTTTTTGCATATGTTGTACTTACAATTTTCTATATAGAAATTCTGCTAAATATAATTTCTAACTAAGCTTTTAACTGCATTATGAAATTTTTTTGATAGTAAGTTTATGAAATGTAAGATTACAAAAATTTCAACTTTATATAAACTAAATTATATATATGAATTTACATAAGTTTGTATAAATTTATGCATTATAATCTTATATAAAATATAGGCTTATGCAAATTTATAAAATATAAATTAATACAAATTTTGCATAAGTTTGCATTAATATAAAAAATTTCTGATATATAACTAAAAATTAGCAGTACTCTTAATTTTTTTTTAGTTAAAACTTAAAACTAGTAACCTGTTGCTTTATATCAGGATTGGCTTTAATGCTAACTGGAATTATATAATTATTATATAAATTTTACTTTTAAAATATTTATAAAACCATTTTTATGAAAAGCAAAATTTTCATTTTTGGAATATTATGTAATAAACTGGCCATTAGAAATAAGATTATATAATTAGAATTTATTTATATAAATAATTTAAATATAATGGTATTTTAATAAGTTTAGTATATGTAAGTAAGGCGTAATTATATTAAGACAAGATCGCATCTATAATAAATAAATAAAAAAAAAAAAAATTTAAATATAATGGTTATTACACAAAATATTTTAATTATATCTGATATAAATTAATTGTATATAAATTTATATAATAAAAATGTTTATTATTTACTAAATATATTTGCCAATTATTAAATAAAATGATTTACAGAAAGATTTTATATATTATTATATAAAATATATTTATTATTAATAAATTTACTATTTTTGATAAAGATAAAATTAAAAAAAAAAAAAATTATTTATTTTTAATTAATTTTTTTAAAAAAATTTAAATATATAAGTTTATTAATAATAAATCAGAATACAGTCAAACCTTGATATAGCGAACCCTTAATGATATAGTGAATTTTTCAGACAATTATAATAAATTTCCCTTTGCTATAAAAAATTAACCAATCAAATCTCTTAAAATCTTCACTATAGTCTTATGAAGTCTGAACCCTAGAGTTCATTATAACAAGGGTTGACTGTAATTGCAATTTTCAAAATTCTGTGTACATTATGATTACTAAGTAATTATAATTATAAGATGATTACAGGATGATTATAGGATAATATTGTCTGATTTTGTCTGATAATTGTCTTGTAATCTGATGATTTTTTTATCAGATAATTTATAAAAAAATAAAACAATTTTAAAAAGTATAATAATAACAATTAAGTTACTTATTAATATAATATAAAAAATTATAATTTAAGGAAAAATAAAAAATATATATAATCAGAATTATTATAATTAGGCTGTTCCAACTTGATTATTTGTTTAACATCCACCACCTCCTTCTATTTTTTTAAAAATTTGAAATCTAATAAACACATATTATTAAATACCTCCTTTATTTTTGAAAAAATTTAAAAGCTAATAAACATATAATGATAAATAATCCCTTCTGAAATTTTCAAATTTTCCTATGTTTATTTATTTAGTTTATTTAACTTAAGCCCCCCTTCCCCTTAATTTTTTCAAAAGGCCTGGACGTTAAACAAACAATTAAGTTGCAACAGCCTTAAAGTTATAAGTAGCAATATATATGTTATATTATATAATTTGTAATTTTTATTTATAATTCTAGTCAAATTTTATAATTCTAATCAAATTTCATAATTCTAGTCAAATTTCATAATTCTAATCAAATTTCATAATTCTAGTCAAATTTCATAATTCTAGTCAAATTTCATAATTCTAGTCAATTTCATAATTCTAGTCAAATTTCATAATTCTGGTTAAATTTCATAATTCTGGTCAAATTTTATAATTCTAATTAAATTTCATAATTCTAGTTAAATTTTGGGATGTCCTTAGTGTATAGTAAAGGTGTATAATATTACTATATATTGTGAATCACAGTATTTGCAAATTTTGGAATTTTGGCCTTATACCTCTCTATTACATGAATTTTTAAGAAGGTATTTAAACTTATAAAATAATTGGAGTATTGGTAAAATAGATAAATTTAAAGCACCTGCTGTAACCCTTAATATCAAGATAATTACGTAATCAGAAAAATAATTACCTGAAGGATGAATAATATACCAAATGAAATACAGACAAATATTTAACTGATGGATAAATATTTAACTAAAATAATTAGAAAATAATTATATATTAATTATTTATAATAATAGTTATTTATAGTCAAGTTATTTATAATTATTTATATTTAGATTAGAATAATTATTATTAGTTTAGTTATAAATGTAGTTACATGATATTTGAACAAGAATTTCATGATCATGTGATTATCACAAGTAAGAATAACTTTAGTATAACTTTAAATTTGTATAAATAGGTATAGTTTTAATCTTGGTTGAATTTTACCAATTTTTGAGTTGGAATTATTGGGAAAATTATTGGGAATTTAGGAAAATATAATGTTAAGTAATAATTATATTAGTTATAAATTATTATGTGATATTATAATGTCAAAGTTAAAAGCTTAATTATCAAAAAAATACTACTCTTTTTCTTTTTTATTTATGTCATTTTAAAATATCCTTTTATTTTTTTTTCCATTTCTTATCTATCTTAATATTGAAATAATAGTGAGTTCTAATGATGAAAGATCAGCCAAAAAGCAAAAAAAAGTAATTGGTGATATTACTTTATTTACTTTTAGCTATTTTAAGTATTAAAATTTAAACATTTACTATTTAGATGAAATTTACATATGAAAAACCTAATGATGATGATATGGCAAGGCTTATTAATAGTAGCTGTTGCAAGAACACTGATTATACCACTTCTACATAGATTCATACTTTAGAAAGATTTTGATCTGATTGTAAGTATCCAGGATTAATAGAACAAGTGGATTCAAAAGATGAGTTAGAAAATCAGTTGTACCATTTTATTCATGCTATAAAGAAACAAGATGGATCTGATTACCATACTAATTTACTTAACAACTGTTTTCATTCCATAAACCATCATTTAAATAAGAAATTAACACTTCTAAAACCAATTAACTTATTAAATAAAGAAGAATATTACAAATTATGGAAAGTTTAAGTTAAAAATCTTGCTTCAAATGGAGAACATAAAGGAAAAGATTTACAGAAAAGGAGCTTTTACAAATCATAAATCATCCTACAATGTCTGTAAATAATTCTATAGGTTTATTACGATGTGTATGTTTCTTTAATGCCATCCTTTTAGGACTCTGCGGTGGTTTAAAAGTTTTTTATGCAAAAAAGATAAATATGATGGATTTGAAGTAATTCTTTATCATTCAAAAACTAATTAATGTGAAGCTAACAACATTCAAGCTCAAAAAGAAAAGTTGTATATTCCTAATATTCCTGAAATTATTAATATGTATGAATTATACTTTTCCAAATATCCAACTCAAGTAAGTACACATTTTTATTTAAAATCCTGTGGCATTAATAAATGTAATAAGTATTACATATTGAATGTTAATTAAAAATAAATTAATTATTGATCATTTAATTAAATGAAATTATAATTAAAACATCTCATTTTATTGCAGATGAATTTAATGGACAATGGTATTACAAGGAACATGTACAGTATCTGAAAAGGACCTTAAAACTTATATGAAACAAATTGCTAGCTGTACAGACATTAATCTGAATAATCATAAGATTAGTAATCATTCTGGATAAAAAACACTTGTTCTTTCTAATGCTGAATGTATGGCTAGTTCAAGACATAAGTCTGAACAAGGATTAGCAAGATATGAATGACCAGAACGTAAAATGCAGTACAATAATACAATGAAGCTTAATAAAGTATTTGGATTTGATAAAAAAAATGATAATAATTTACAATCTGGTCAGTTATTATTTTTTGATACTTTTTATATTTTACAAAGTTTATTAAATTTTATAACTTCTTGAAAAATCAATTAACAAAAGTGCTAAATTTTCCAACAATTACACTTGAAGGCAATTTTATTACTGCTAAATCTTTAATTAATGGTATCGATTTTGTTTTGTATAATGCATTTGTAACTTAATTATTAGATATTTATTTTTTTTTATTAGATAAAAGTGAAATTATTAATTTAACAGACGATATAAATAAAAGCAATTCTACGTGCCAGCCATTACAAGATTTGAATATTGTTCAAGAGAAACCAAAACAGAGATTAGAGGAATTAATTTCAAAATTGACAGCTGATAAAGTTTTCATTAATTTCGTTGTTATTTTTAATAATAGTGGTGAATCAAATTAATAGTACTACAAGATAGTTAGAAATAGTATTAAAAGCTTAATATAGTTTATCATTAATATCAACATTAAACCATATTTTATATATTATTGTAAAATATTATGCAACAATTTTTATTGCTCAGTACAACTTACATAACACGCATACCGGATCTCTTGGACGAACCGGACTTACACAAGAGGTGTTAGTGAGGTGGGTGTGGTGTGTTAAATAAGAAACGTTTCTAACGTTTCTTTCTTCATTTGTAGGAACGCCAGGAATCAGTTTTATCTTTTTTTAACGTTTTTTCTTTTGATTTTTTAGAAACATGTCTAATGTTTCTTTCTTTTATAGGGAACGCTGGACGAAATTACAATCGAACTATGGAATGGCTGGGTCACGTTTCAGGTTAGAATTACTGATGATCCGACAATCTTTTTTTTTCAAAAAAAAAAAAACTAATTTTTTTTATTTTAAGTCGAAGGTCGGAGCTCGGAAGGTAAAAACGGAAATTACAAAATATATTACAAAATATATTTCCGTTATTTACTTATATTTTTTTGCTTTTAGAAACATGCTGTCCATTGTGGTATTACGGGAACAACAGGAACGAACTCTTTAGATTAACACTGATTTTTTAGACGATTCCAGACAACTTTTTGCGGTAAATTTCTTTGGGTGAGCGTTATTGGTATTAATAGCAATAATAATGCTATTTATTTCTTCTTTTTTTTAGGTTTCTGGACGATTCTTGGACAATTCGTGATAGGTTTCTTTGTGTGGATGTTAATGGCGACATTGAACTATATTACGCCACACTTTTTTTATTTTTTTAGGTTCCTAGATGATCTAAACAACATTATATTCTTCATGGTAGGTCCTTTGTATGGTGTCAATGGCGTATTATTTAATAATGTTAACGCATTTTTTATTTTTTAGATTTCTGGATGATTCATGGACGTGGTCAGTAAATTTCTTTGGATGTTTTTTAGGCTTTGGAACAATTTTGGGGCGAAACATCATGGTACGTAGGTTCTTTAAATGGTATGATAATGGTGCTATTAGACAAAGCTAATAATGAATTCTTATTTTTGCAGGTTTTTTGGATAGGAAACGTAGACGCGATGAGATATCAAAGACATCTGAGACGTATTAAACTTTGTTTGTTGGAATCGAACCAACTAGAACAATGTTCCAAACCATTAACAACATAGTTTAGAAAGATAAAATATTAATGTAACGCATATAATAAATATCTAGTTTTAAATAAATAAAATAAATAAATGATGTTTATTAATAAATATTAATATACAATACACATAAAAATCAGTAAAATATCGGGATATAACATGAGATATCAGGATATAATCAATTAAACATCGTATTTTGATATCATTGAAATATCAAGATACCGATATGATTATGATATTTATACAATACGAGTATGATATGCAACAACCAAGAGCAAGATATGGTAGAGGAGTATACAACGAGAATTTCAACATATTAACAACCAAGAAAGAAGAGAAAGCAATAATTAAAGGCTTTGGAATTTTGTGTATGACGAAATGAAAAATAGGATTTGGATACCCGAGATGCGAAGAAATTAAGAGATTAGAAGATAAAGCAGATATACAAAAAATAGATCTTAGGACGAAGACTTATTACTAGAAAATAATGTAGAAAAAAATAAAAATAGAAAAACACAAGAAAATTAGAAAAATTAGAAAAAAATAGATTTAATAAAAACATTAACGTTAGAAAAAATGATGGGATCAATAACAGATGGTAATAGTATTAAAACCACTTGGGATCTAACACCTAAAATGTATAATTTTTTAGATTAGACATAGTTTAGTATTAGAAATTTTGTCCTTAGAATACTTAGTTATAGATAGGGTTTTTTTCGAAAAGCTCTAAGTGTTTTAACGATTAATTATGTAATTTGTATCAAATTTAAAAAAAAAAAAAAAAAAAGATATGCAACAACCCGATATGTAACACATATTGGACCACTATCGTACAGATATTATGAAATCCTCAGTGTATATAATAATTAAAAAAATGACATAAAAATGGAAATAATAAATCAAATTATGTCTAAAATTGTACATTAAAAAAAATAGTTAGTATTAAGAAAAGTTTATAAGAATTTTTCTTAAAATGTTAATATTTAGTCTTATATTTAAAGAACCGGACTGCCTCACAATTATTTGGCAGAAGAAGCATGTGAAAATGCTTTGGTTTATTTAAAAATGATTAACTCAGGAATTTCTTCTGATATTTTAGGCTTCGCCCCCTCGAAGAAGAAACCCAAGGACGATATTCACGTCCTTGAATCCTCGGAAGCGCAAAAACCCAGACACAGGCGCCAAAGGCGACCAGTTATTTTGGTTCAGTCCGGTCTGGGCCCGGACTATCTTTTTAATATAACCCGTATGTAGCAGAAAAAAATAGGAATAACCCGTTTTTATTATTTAATTTTATCCCTCTCTGGATTAATTTTTTTTCCTTTCGTCAAGAATTATTATTTCTAAACAAGCAACCTTTCCTGTAAACTACTTTGATGAAACTAAATACGAGATAGAATATTCTCAAGCTCAATGTATATTGTGGATTAATTTCAATCGTCCTTTGCTTTAATATTTTCTTATTAGCTTCAACAAAATAATCTACATCATTTTCGCGTGTTATCCAAATGAATATTACTTCCACTTTCAAGCCACCCAATATCTTTGATTCTAATTCTGGCCAAATCCCGGAGAAAAAAGATGCTTCGGAATCTGAATGCGTTTCTTTATCAAGGGTAATTTGAATTGGAGCAATATACAATGTGTTTTCCTCAACTTTTTCTTTTTTGTTCTTCATTTTGTAAAGGGTTATTAATCCATCGATCGACTTTTGGTTCCAGAGACGTGGTAAATAAAATGTGCATAGTCCTTCATTCATAGAAAAATCGATTTCTTCTATACAGGTAAAAAATTTGTAATTATCAAACTTAATTATCAAACTTAAAATTTATCGCACTTGCCATAAGTCCATTTTTATAAATACTAGCAAGGCATGCTTTTTCCACCATGAATCCCTTTACCGAAGGGTTATTCTTAAACTTTTTTATACATTGGATCCAATTGGATTTGTGAATATTTCCAAATTGCCCTTTTGAAATAAGTAGTCAGCCAATTGATCCCGTACATATCCAGATATACAGTGACAGCGTTCGTGTTTATTAATATAGAAAAAGCGGTGGTCATAATCGTCAGTTCCATAGCCAGAAGGAGCAAAACTATTTGTCATGCATGATGACATTAATTTGACGTGACTATGTAAAGATAAAAGTCAGTTTTCGTATAACTTATTAATCACAAAGTAAACTAAAATACATACACTTCCCATCTTTCTATTTTTATAATATCAGAAAAGTTTGTCATTGGTATTTTTATCTTCTCTATTAATATTGATTTTAAGCGATCCAACGCATCTTCAAAATTTTTTTCGGAACCTGGAAGAAAGCTCAAAAAGAGCGGATTTCGTCCGGTGATATATTCGATTTTCCTTTTTCGTTCTTCATCCATTGATGGCAAATTGGAATTGTTTCTAATCCACCATTGTAACATCTCATCCTAAAAAATATTAACGCAAAATATTTAAGTATAGAGCATTTATTTAAACGCACCTTATCAAATCCTTCATAAAGTTCAATCTTTTTCTCATTCGTTTGTTTTAATTTAAGATGCAATGCCGATATGTTGTTTGCTGATGAACTCTTAATATAATAATGTTTTGTGGCTATTCGACCGAGGAATCCTACAATTCGTTGCTTAGTTGTTTCATCAATTTCAGTATTATTATGACCATCTAAAGCATTCATTTGATCTACAACTATGTATAGCGGTTCTGATTCCTCCTTACAGAACTCTTCTATCTCATCAAGCGTTACACAGGAATGAATTTCACTCATTTTCGCACTATCATTTGCGTAGGTGAGAAATAAGGCCGACTTGATGTAATATTCTGGGTCCCGGGCTAATTCACGGCAATCTGGAAGGTATACTACACGCTTTCCAGTTCTAAGAAGAAAACACACTATTGTTGCAAGGATATGTGACTTTCCATATCCGATAGTGCCATAAATGAAACAATCCATATAACCTTCCTCATATTTAAATTCATTAATAGTGTTTAGAACATTGTCAAATGCCTTTCTTCCCATATACAAAAATCTCTTATTTTTAATAGAAAACCTCTCTACTGGTTTTCTTTCGCCAAGGAATGGGAACGGTAGCGGAAGTAAATTCTCAGGGTTTGAGTAAACCCTAGGATCATCAGAAATTTTCATTATATCCTCCATTGTTTTTAGAGCACGAGTAAGGATTGTCTCCGGAACTAAGAAATAATAATGTAAATATTGATGTTGAGTTTTAAGTGGAATAGTTTACAAACTGAAAAAATTGACCGGATTAGTTTATCAAGGCATTATAAACGCACCTCTTAGTTTCCTTTTTTTTCGGTATCGGACTTCATCCCAATAATCTGAATCCAATTGTCTTTTCGTCGCTAATCGAATAAAAAAATATGTGAGATAACGCGAATTTCTTGTTCGAAAGGTAAACCATTGGGAGACACTTACCAGTGGTGACGGGCGGTGGCGGTTGTACAATTATGTGGATGTAGTCATCCAGAAACTCATATCCGGCTGGAAATTCCTTTAAAACCTTTGTACATGGGCTCAACTTATCACTAAGTTCAATGTTTTCATAAAATTTCTTGTTAAGTTCCTTCAACTCCTCGTTATCTTCTTTGAGAGGAGTTACAAACTTCATTAGCTTCAGTTGATTGGCTTTGTTGTCGTTGGGCCATATCAATTTTTTAATATGCCCAAAATTTAACTTTTTAAGTGAGACATCGGGACCATCGACTTTGGTTATATTGCCGATGTCAATCGGAATTGCACTCTTAACAGGTGTACCTAAAACGTAGCAAAATAACGTAAATTCGGCCATATACCTAGATTGTACCCGGGATGGCGAAAGTACTCGAAATAGCGAAGAATAATTTGACATTTTGATTAATTATCATATATATATATATGTTGGTTGTTGACTAATTACTACGAACTGTGAGTCAGTAATACTACGACGATGTGTCAAGGATCAATTACGAAGATTCGAAGAAAAATTCATAAACCACATGTCACAATGTCACATGAGAGTGATAATTCGTAATGCCGTAATATACCTAGTAAATTTAATTATGGGGCGCATTATTATATTTAAAATTAGTATAAATTATATTTTAATTGGTGTTAAACTAATCTTCACGTAATCATATCATATGGGCCCAATTGCTTATTCGTTCCTTTGTCAAACGATAAGATGGTTTTGAAATTATTCGAAAAACTTGAGATTGGTGATTTTCTTTTATTTTTAAGTAATCTTTTGGACTATCAATACCGGCGCTTGCTTCAGAAGAATTATTTGTATTTTTTAAATTATCAACAGGAGCAACTGCTCCAGAAGAATCTTTTGAACCCTTTGAACTATCAATAGTAGCAATCGTAAATTTGTATTATTGTTACCAAAATTTTTGAATTAATTAAAATTGTTGTTAGGGTTACCCATGGAAATAGTTGAAGATCGAACAAGTCACATGATGTAGTACGCAGAAATCCTATGATATGAAACATTTCTTATAATATATTTTTAGTTTTATTAGTTACTTACATTAATTAACCACTTTTAGTATTATTATTGCTTTTGACTCATAAGTATTCAATTATAAGTATCAGTTTAATTATTATAACATTAGTAAATTGCTTCATTAGTTTAGCTAGAGAAGTTTCTTGAAATTTACATAGTTGATGAAATATAGACACATGGAACTTATACGAAATAGCAATAGAAAGTTTTTTACAGATAATTGCGATGAGAAAAGGACAATTGATTGATTAATCATATTAGTATAATAGAATAATATTGATACACCTGAGTAGATCTAACAGAGAGATTGTGTTATCTGAAGTATTGTTTTTTGTATGATTTGTTTGTTAATTTTTTTTTGTGGTAAACTTTTCACATGTTCTACTTGTTTTACCTTTGTGTTTGTCATTATTTGTTTGATAGATTTTTATCTTTAAGAAACTCTTACACTATTTACTATCATTATTAATTTTCTATTGGGAACTATTTGACCTTTTCACCACAACTGTTCAATTTAACATCTCTGACATTAGTTATCACTCCAGACCAAATCAGTGATAACATTATCTAATAATATACTATATAACATTTAATATAGTAATAATAATATATAAAAACTAATAAGGTGTGAAAAAAATTACTTTGATGGATATTTTATCTAAAGTAATATTATTTAAAAAATAAAACATTTGTTATAAAATCATAAATATAAGAAAATTGATTAAATAATTTTTGTGTAAATATAATATTATAAAGTCATATGATTAGATTACTTATTTTTAGTGTGTAGTTCAATACATTATTCAATGCTGTATATTAACATAACTACATATATAATTAAATTAAATTATATTTATTTTTACTTATCTAAACATCTCAGTCACATATTGAATTTGCTTATTTATCTTAATAAAAACCTTACGTAAAGCTATTATAAAATTTTTGACCTTTTTTATTATCTGTATATATATTGCTCAGGGTTTATAGTACAGTAAAATACAATAATTTAATTAGTACTATATTCTATAATTTTAAGCTAAAACTAACATATAAAATTTGATTGTACTACCTGTTACTTTTTTTATATCACACTTTAAAAGACTGCCAAATAGATGTAGAAGAAAAGGTCTAGTGATAGATAAACAAGTGGATAACTTTTTATTACCAATAAAAGATTTATAAAAATACATAAACAAATAGATACTTTTTTAATGCTAAAAAGGCTATAGATAAAGAAGAAAAGTGTAACTAACAGGTTATGTAATCACTATTAGATTAAAGAGTTATCAGTTAATAAAATAATATACCATATACATCCGATATTAAGCACCTGCACTCCTAGCCAGAATTATGAAAATTTTGACCTACATTATATTGTTCCTGGCCAGCATTACGGTCAAAAAGGTGTGCTTAATTTCAGATGTATATGGTAGTAAGAATTAACTAAAGCAATAGCTAGAAGGCTATAAAGGAATCTGAATTTTGGATTATAGAACTACTAATAAGTTATAAAGTTACCAATAGATTATGTAATTAGGTTATAAAGTTATTGCTAAGTCATGTAATTACTAGGTTATGAAGTCATTGTCAGATTATGAAGTCACTATTAGATTACTATTAGACTATAAAATTACCATTAAATATGAAGTTATCTTTATAATCTGTTCCAAATCACCAGTAACTCTTTGATATAATTATATCAAAGAGTTACTAAATTCTACCAAATTCTGGTGCAAATAAAAAAAAAATGTTTCTTTATAATTTAACTGTTACTGGTAACTAACATTATAGTTTGATATGTTTATTGAGAAAAAATATTTTAAGTTGATTTTCAATATTACAAAATAAAATAAAAAAAGGAAAAAATATTTATGTTTTTTTAAAATATTTATATTATAAAATTATAAATTTTTATATATAAAAAATCAAATAAAATTCTTTCATTCCAATTCTAACTAAAAATCTTAACAATTGTAATTCATAATTAATGAGTAAGAATTCAATAATCATCCAAAATGATTTCTTTGTAAGTCATATGCAGAGAATTTATATGAATAATTGGCCAGGTAAATACCATTCTTCCTTGGGATCTGTTTCTTCCCATTCCTCAGAGTGGTAACTTGAGTCTCTAAGAATTTTTACAAGATCCTCTTCTGGGTACCTGAGAATATATTTATCTTTAAGTGTATAGAACATAAGATTTCTTAATTGTTTAAACAAACTGCCAAATGTAAAGAAACAAATTGATATTTTCAGCAACACATGCTTTACTATAACATCTTTTTCAGTTGCATTTCATACATATTTGTAAAATTTTGAGATAAATTCTATTGATTATTCTAATTTTTTTTGCAGGCTGTGAAGGTTCAACTAATTGAATAAGTAAAATTGAATTCAATCACTTAGATTATCAAAGCCTGCTCCAGGCTTAGACTGGCTGTGGTGAAGTCTTTCATCTCTTTAACTATTAAATAATATCAATTTTAATGAATTCTTTCTTCATATGTTACTAAATTATAAATCAAAAATGTCCCTCAACGATTTAAAAACGATTTAAGATAATAAACCTTTCATCACATTTAAATCTTATTCTTCTATTTAATGAGGCCCAAAATTTACAAATAACTGCCACAACACCATGCCGCAAAGCCATCTTAAACGAGATTAACAAAATTTATTTTCATTATCTTATTAATTCTAAAATATATTATGATCCAATCTTTTGAGTTGAAACTTGGTAATAATCCATATTGTTTATAACATAATTTTCTTTTATTGAATAAAATATTCCTTAAAATAATGGCAATTTTATTTTTGAATTAGCCAAATTTTAAGTTAATATAATTTAAATTTTTAATTGTATTAAATAAAAATCTATAGTTTGAAATGTTTGTTGAGGAAAATTTAATATTCAACATTATGAAATAAATAATTAAATAGTAGTAGCATTATTGTAGCTTTATTTAGCATTATTTATGATTTGTATTAATATAAATAGTAAAAGAAAGAAGGAAAAATATTTTTGTTTTTTTATGTGAACGGGTGAGAAAAAAAATTGCGTTAAACAATGATGAAATGATGGTTATAAAAGAGAGCAATAAAATAATAAATAACAAAAATTACCCGTCCTTGTTATCAATCAGATTCAGATTATTTTTTTTTGTGATTAACTTTTTTTGGTAGTACGACATTTTATTAAAAAAAAAATGACCTTGGTTTTATCGACATTCTTTTTTTGTTCTGATCATCTTTCCAATCATAATATCTGAATTTTTAATGGTTCATTATTACGCCATTTTTTTCTGAAACAATTTTATATTTTCATATTATTCATTTTGATTATTTTGGTTAAAAGGAAAAAAAAAGAAAAGACTAGAACTCTGAAAAAGGTTAATTTAATTAATTGAAATACATGCTAGGTTACAAATAATTACGATGAAACCAAACGCTTGACTAATTGACTAATTTATTGAATTTTGTTTAGGAAAGGTTTTATTTATGAGCTTCCTTAAATAGACCATTCAAATTATTATCCTAGACCCGGTTTCAGGAAATTTGATAATTAATATTAACAGTTAATACATTGCAGTAATCGATTCACGTGATTTGATTTACACCAAAATAATTTTATTTTTAATTTAATATATATACTTTTTATTGAATAAACAAAAGAACCCAACCTATAACGCACTCTATTTTTTTCAAATAGTAATGTTGTAATTGATGGTTATTTACAGTTAAAGAAAGTTTGTATGAATTTCAAAGTTGGATTTTTTTTAAAGAAAATTACATAAATTACTAATTTGCAAATGAAAAAAAAAAAAATGAATGATGCATCAAATGAATTTAATAAATAAAACAACTCATCCCACATATCCATATAAAATGAATTTGCACATAACATATGATCAGTTATATTTTTTAATTAGGGATTCTTTGAATCGGGTTTAAAATCATCAGGTAAATGTATTGTTTTGACAGTATAAGTAGGTGGAGGAACCCAATTATTTGATGTTGGTGGTTGTGCGGAATAGACAAAATATGTGGGAGTACTTTGTCCGTTAATTGGAACCGGTGGAGCCGTAAAAGGCAAAACTTCTTTTTTCATATTTCTTGCAAATCTAAAGATCACATATGCAAAATATATCTATAATAAAAATTTGGTAAATAATTAGAAAATTTTTTCTATATAGGGATATTATATTACACATCAAATTTTACAAAATATATTACCGAAACTGATCCAAGGGCAATCAATCTTATAGTTTCACCAATCAAAGATGCTCTAACAGTGTGTTCACAAAAGTTTTTAGTATCCGCATCATTACTATTAGGTGAACTCGGATCAGCAGAAACACATTCATTAATATATGAATCTTTGGAATTAAAGTCAAGAGCAAGAATGATTATATTTATGATAATCATTAATGCTGTAATAACCCAAAAGGCAATTGACAGACGATGCATCAAAACTATTTTTTCCTGAAAAAAAAAATTTTATATATATATTTTTTTTTAATACATTATGGAAAAATAAAATATCATCAAATGCCAACCAGAAATTTTTTAATACCTTTTTAATTGCACTAACACCCAAAGCACTAGCAATAACAAATAACGTATTTAAAATACCAAAAACGCTCAAAATGGCTTTAGTTAATCCATCATCAGTATCTAAATAAATTATAAAGAATTAAAATGTTAGTTATGTAAAAGATATTAATAAAAAATTATAAATTATTTTTATAACTTACAGCCCAAACTCAAGAACGAAGTTGCAGCGCCAAACATTCCGGTGAACTAATTATGATGAAGTAAAAAAGTTAAAAAAATTATTACATTGGAATATTCGTTTCCAACTTTTAATCAGACTTAGCTACTTACAAAATACATTGATAAAATAGCGAAAACTCCAACAATTTCTGGTATACAAAAACAACAACTTCCCATTACTCTATATTTTCTTGGTTCAGCAGAATCAACAATAGTTACAGTAGGAGTATTATTGACGTTGGTAGAATTTCTTTGTGTCTTGGCAGCCATTTTTTATATTTCTTGCGTTTAAATTTTGAAAATTTTGTGATTTGTAAGAAACCGCACGGCGATTTAAATAATAATTTAGTAAGGAAAGTTTAAAAATGAACTTGTGCAGTATAAAAAAGTATTTTATTAAGGGTGTTAATGGTTTGGTAAATCGGCCTGCGATTTCCTTTTGGTGTTAGTAATGAATGTGAAAGAAAATAAAAAGCGTATTAAAGGGCACCACGCTTTTTTTATAAACTTTGGGTTTGTGAACTGTATCCTGAATTTGGTATAGTGTATCCCTTATGGTTTATATAATTTCCAGATTCAACACAGTTAAACAGATCTACCTGTATCCCTTGTGTCCTTCACTCCTTTGTTTGGCTATCATAATATAACGTGTACATATATTATTTATATATATATTACAAACATGTTTCGGCCTTTTTTTGTATAATTTCTTTGTAAGTTTTTCTTGGCAACATTTGACGTTACATCGTTACATTATCGATTATTCGTTCAACAAAGTACGGTTTTGTGTAACTTGAATTTATGAAAATTCTATTTTAGAACTAAATAGGATAATTTATCGAATTCTTCCATTTTATTTTTAATTTAATTTTGTAAAGAAACAACGGGTAATTTTAATTGTTATTTAAACTAAATTTAAGTATCTGTAGCTTGTCTAACAATTTTTTCACACATTTCAAGTAACATATTGAATCGACATAAAGCATCAAATCTTCCCTTTCGGGATGTAACGGAAACCAAAAGACCCTTGAAGCCGTCCTAATTTATGAGAAAAGAGAATTCATAAATTAACTTTTAATTAAATATGTAAAATAATGATAATACAATTATTATAAAATTAATTTACTAACCAAAATTCCCTCATCTTCTTGATCCTCTTGCATATTATCCTCAGCATCAACAGCCTCACGCAATGTCTCAAGATCCGTGAGGAAGTTATGTGCTTGTTCTAATTTCTATCAATTTAATAAGTTGTAATGATTATATATAAATGAATAAATTCCATTTAAATTCTATTTTATTTTACAAACCTTTCTTTCTTGTTCTTCATTTACGAATATTCTTCTTTCATTAGCCAATTCCTTACGCACTTTATCACGTTCACGCTGCACATCCAACATTTCTTTTCGCAAACAATTCATTTGTGTTTTAGATTTTCTTAACGATGATCGCATCATTATTTGTTCATCAAAGAGATCAGACTTAGAATAAAAGAAAGAAAAAAAACTGTAAGAAAAGACACACGATGTTAATCGAACAACAATAAATGATATTAGCAAACCTGCTCAAGTAAATGTAATTCTATCTCGTTCTTGAAATATTGAATTTCTTTCTTAAATGAATTATTATCGTTCCTAAAACAAACAAACAAAAAAAATAAAGATACAATTATGATCGGATAGTGCTTAACAATAAGATTTATAGGAAAAAAGTAACTTTCTACGAACAAAAATTCTATAATAGTGTCATTTATAGCATCACCAATAATATCAAGTTCATTTAATTTGGCCGCACTTGTCTTCTTGACTATATTTCCATCTTTGTCTTGAATAGTACTACTTCCAATTTTATGACACTTAATCTTAAGGCGGGAGGACTTCTTCCTGCTTTGATTTATGGCGGTCTGTTCTTCGAACGCTTCTTCTAAATCCATGGTTTCCTCAGAAGGTTGATTTATAGATTCTTCGGCAACATTCTGGTCTTCTGGCAATATAACAGATGCATCTTCGGGGATATCTTCATCCATAACAGTATCTGTTATTTACATAAAATCATGAACCAACGATAATAATATAAAGTATTATAAATTTTACGATTAATATCCGACCTGATATTTCCGGAGATTTAACCGTGGGTTTTCCTTTATTTTTTACAGTTTTCTTATGACGTGTAGGCCTCTTTTTGTTTTGACTTATTCCTGTTACATCATCTGACGATTTGTCTGGAACAACCTTATCCATGGTAATGTCTATCATTTAAACAAAGTTAAAATTGTTTTTTCAAATACTATTAATGATATGCATATTAAAATCTGACCTATTTGTTTTGATGATTTAGCTGAGGTCTTGCCTTTATTCTTTACAATCTCACGGCCAACTTCATTCCTTCGACGCGTGCGTCTCTTTCTGCTTTGATTTATTTCATTTGCTTCTTCAGCGGTCCCAGCGTTCTGTTCCTCTTCTTCCTCTTTTTCATCTGACGACTTATCTGGAATAACATCATCCATAACAGTGTCTATCATTTTAATAAAGTTAAAAATTGTTCTTACAAAACAATTAGATAATATAGATACATATATATTAAAATCCGACCTATTTGTTCTGGTGATTTAGCCGAGATTTTGTCCTTGTTTTTTACAATATCACGTTTAACAATGTTCTTTCGACGCGTGGACCTCCTCTTGTTTTGATTTTTTTCACTTGCTTCTTCATTAATCTCAGTGACCTTTTCTTGTTCTTCAAACGACTTATCTGGAACAACCTCATTCATGACAGTGTCTATCATTTTAATAAAGTTAAAAATTGTTCTTACAAAAACAATTAGATAACATAGATACATGTATATATATTAAAACCCAACTTATTTGTTCTGGCGACTTAGCCGAGGCCTTGCCTTTATTTTTTACAACACCACGTCTAACAATATTCTTGTGACGACGCGTGGGCTTCTTCTTGCCTTTACTTATTTCTATTACTTTTTCAGTGTCCTCGGTGGTCTCAACGATCTGTTCTTCCGATGATTTATCCTCCATATCTTTTTCAGTATCTATAATTTATAGAATGGATAAAATAAGATTTTAAAAAAAAATAATTTTAAATTACAATTAAAAAAAAATATTTGAATTTCCATATTAATCAGACCTATATGCATCTTTGATGATCTAGCCGGAATTTTATCTTTATCATTTACAATCTCACGTTCATTTTTACTCTTACGACGTGATGACCTTCTCTTATTTTGACTTAATTCTTTTTCTTCGGTAACTTGTTCTTGTTCATCTGAAGATTTGACTACTTCTACATCATCCATATCGATGTCTATCGTTGATATAAATGAATGAATAAAAAGAGTAATATAATTATAATAAAATTTGAGGATTTCATTAAAAATCTGACCTAATTGTTCCTCTGACGATTTATCCTGGACATTTACTTCTTCTTCATCTCTATCATCTACTTCATTCCCTTCATTTCCTTCGCCCATAAAAATATCTATCATCATTATAAAATTAAATATAAATTATAATTAAATGTTAGAGCTTCATCGAAAAAATCTGAACCTAATTGTTCTTCTGAAAACTTTTCCGGAATATCTACTTCATCCAAAATAGTAACTATAATTTATAAAAAAATAAAATGTTGAATTAAAATAAATTGCACCAATAATATATATTAATATATAAATTAAAAAACTCCGAACCTAATTGTTTCCCTGGTGATTTGTCGAGAATATTTACTTCATCCATTATAACAATATCTGTAGTTATAATAGAAAATTTCGAGCATCACAAATTGATCATCGGCATCAATCCAAACTGAAAATAACTATAATAAAGATTCTTTTACCTGATCGTTCTTCATCATCATTATATTTTCCTTTTGATATCAAAACTTCAATATTTCCAACATTGATACTATAATCAATCTCCATCGGAGAGCCCAAAGACATTTGACTAGAACGTGAACGATCATTGTTTTTCATTTTAGGTGTTGGTGTTCCTAAAATGATATATAGGGTTAACGAAAAATAATTCTCAAATAATTTCACATAATTTCTAACCTAATTGTTCATATTCTTCGTCATCATCATCATCATGTACAGATTTTCTCTTTGAGGATACGGATTTACTAGTACTAAAATTATTATCAAAAACATTTTCAGGGCGTTGTAATATTTGCTCTGGAGTACGTGGTTGTTCGGCAGGTCTTGGAGGTAATGTTATTTTAAAATCCCGAAACGTTGTTCTGCGAGTTCTGTAAAAGTTGTGATCGTTGTAAAATTAATGTTTTTTAGAACCAAAAAAAAAGTCTCATATAAGAGCCCGTATTAAAAGAAACAAACCCATGGGTTCTTCTTCTTTCGAGAATTCGATCCTTGTATTTTTCGGGAAGATTAGAAATTGTGAGTTCTAGACCTAAATAAACATGAATTGAGTATTTAAAGTAACAAATTAAAGGTTAAATATCAAAAGTGTCGAACCTTTACTTTCAGGCATTTTTTAAAATTGACGCGCTGGTCTCGCTGCCAAAGCTAATAAATTGACAAATTGACAAAGGGAAAGAAACAAAAAAAGAAAAAATAATAAATAAATAGCATAAATAGCAAAAAAAAAAAGAACAATGATAAGAATAGTGACATCACGCGTTTCGAAAAAACACAGATCAGTCTGGTCAGTCACATGAGAATGTAATTGATCGGGAAACATAAAGTTGCATAAAGTTGCATAATAAACATAATCTTGCCCAACATTTGTTTTATAATTTCATGTGACTTTAATTTTAAGCGTATCAACGGTAACACAACCCACCTTTTGGTACCAACTCCGTTTCTCGAGTTATCTGTAATATGAATTCAGAGATTACCCGGGAAGAGAAGAAAAGCCGAAGGTCGAAAGGTTGTCGTGCAAAGAAGTCCATCCCAGAAAGATTATTATGATAATATGAGATAAAATATATTAAATATATTTCCGGTATGGTCAGCGAATATTGCAGGATTGCAGGAATAATATTAATATTTTACGACAAACTTGGATAATATTTCTTAAGTGGTAATAAAGAACTCGTGAAGATTAACAGACAAAAGCTGCTGGATTTTATGAATAGCGCGAATATAAATGAATTAGGTACAATCTGAGATGATATACTTGAGCGAATTACTCCTCGAAAGTCTCTACGCGAAGGAAAATTTAAAGTCGTCTTACAAAACAAAATTCTGGATCCGCCGCTTGAACTTCCACTTCCACTACAATTATTATTTTCCAAACAATAATTGTAGTGATTCAATTTGTAAAATTCGTTATTTTATTTATTTCTTTTATTTCTTTTATATTTTTATTTTCTCTCTTTTAATTTTTTTATATTTTTTTATTCAAGACATATTTTACAATGATGTTTCAATGTAAAATTTCATGCTACTAATGTTGGTTTCATGTGCGCATTAATTTATCATGGATTACTTTCTGATAATATTGGTCTTTAGCACGTCTCAAATAAAGAGAGACTTTCTTTCTTATACTCGAACGTGACGATATTATTGAAGGTTCTAATCCAATCACGGATAGATCATTCACATGTCATTCCTTCATATAATTTGGTCGGTGTATGCAGTCATTGCAGGGAGATTGAAAATTCTTTAGACCAGAAACTTGTATCGAAATTTTTTAGTTAAAAAGTATTAAGTTTATTTGAATTGAATATGTAATTATTTTTTTTTGCTATTACCAATAAAAAAAATTTCAGTTGATTTCGTATTATGGTATTAAATAGTGTGTATGCATCAGAAATTAATGATCAGAATCTTGTGGGTTTTCCAAGAATTCGTTCAGTTTAAGGAAAGGCTCAGCCTGATGGCTCAGCCTGATAAAGAATTTGTCGAGACTAGTGATATTTGACCATAATATTGATAATATCGGTGCGGCATTTGCACTCAAATATTTGTTAACGAATATAAAAGAATATAAGTTTCTTTGTCCGATAAGTATTAATTCCATCATTATATAATATTTCTCGCGAAAATTTCTGTTAAGTGCTAATTAATAAAAGAAATTAAATTTATACTATGAAATAACGATCCATTTCTTATTCATGAAATTATGAGAATTACATTTCCATATCCATCGTAAATGTGCGTGATTTAGCCAGAGTGATGCCTCCTTCTTAGACAAGGTTTTATTTTTTTATTTAGCTAATTGCTGATTCTAAATGTGCGTGATTTAGTCAGAGTGATGTCTCTTTCTTAGGCAAGGGTCTATTTTTATTAGTTAATTGCTGATTCATCATTTCCATCACTAAAGACATCCATCGTAAATGTCTCCTTCTTATACAAGGTCTATTTTCTGATTATTTTAGTTAATTGTTGGTTCTATCATTTCCATCTTCCATCGTAAATGCTGATTCCATCATTTCCATCACTAAAGACATCCATCGTAAATGTCTCCTTCTTAGACAAGGTCTATTTTCTGATTATTTTAATTAATTGTTGGTTCTATCATTTCGACATCCATTACATCCATTGTAAATTTGTGATTTAGCCAGATTGATTGTTCCTTCTTTTTAATAATAGACAATGGTCTATTTTCATTATTAATTTAATTCATTTCCAAAAAAAAGTATAGATTCCTTAATATTTTTAAAGGAGTTCCTGGTGTCTCGCCCCATTTATTATAAAGATCATAATTATGTTGTTTGTTACCCAAATTTCCATATATGCCATCTAATGGTGGTATATTATCTGTTCCACCGTCCACAAAATTCAAGATTACTTCATTTATTATGAAAGATTATATATACTATTCCGTTTGAAGACTCAATTATTGTTATTAAATATCAGGATGTAACAGTTCAATAGATTGAAAAATAATTAAAATAATTTGATGGATTATCAAAAATTTCCTTGTTTTATTATTTTCTCCTTATAATTGTCCCATAAGTATTTTGAGCATTAACATTTCCGTTTTCTGTTGATTTCGTTAACCATTTTAAAGCTTCATTAATATTTCATTCTTCTTTAAAAAAGACTTGAATTCATTCTTTGTCTGGATTATAGAATGTAGCTTTCTTATTTTAATCATATCTAATTAAGTGATTTGACATATAAAGTTTCTGATAGGGAAGGTCCCCCCGTCCTTGGTTAAAACACGTAACCTTCTCAATGATCAATCCTTGGATCTGAAAGAGATTAAAAATTGTGATGGTACTTGATAATCTTGCCAGTAAACAACCAACATCAACAATTCAGCAAAAAATCCGACGAATTTTTTAAAAGTGGTAGGCGCTCTAATATTAGGCCGACTTTGAAAATAGTGACACTTTATGGTAAGGATAACATCAAACGTATTCTTAGTAAGGTATCAAACGCATTCATAAAGTAAATAAATCTCTTGATAACATCATATGCATTCTAAGTAAGGTATCAAACGCATTCGTAAAGTAAATAAATCTCTTGATAACATCAAATGCATTCTAAGTAAGGTATCAAACGCATTCATAAAGTAAATAAATCTCTTGATAACATCAAATGCATTCTAAGTAAGGTATCAAACGCATTCATAAAGTAAATAAATCTCTTGATAACATCAAATGCATTCTTAAAGTAAGTAATCTCTTGCAAGAAAAAATTGAATAATGCAATTAAAAAGAAAATACTTCATGTTTTGTCACCTCAATTCAATGTTATTTTCTTCTTTTCCAAATACGCTTATACGTATACCAAATAATTAACGTCATTATGATAAGAACCATAAACTTCTCAATGACAAAGGCCTTGCCAGTTCCTAATACGATAATGAAATAATACAAATCGATACCTCTTATCGCTAAGCCATTTTCTAATATGGATATATCTTACCCAAGTATGGTCTCTTGTCTTGAAACCCTAATTAATTGCATAAACAAATCTAAATTATCCAATTCAATTTTCTCAAAAAATCTTAAAAGATCAAATAAAAAACACTTTTTAATCAAAAATCTAATTTTTAATCCATTATTTAATCCAATTATTTAATCCAATTTTATAATCCAATTTTTATAATCCAAATTATAATCATTAAAAAAAAAATATGTATATACATATATATATTTAAATAATCAATTATATTCTACAATTTAAAATTTGACATTACATTCTACTAATTACTAAAATTTCATATTCCATTACTACTAATTACCTAACATTTCATATTCCATTATTACTAATTACTAAAATTTCATATTCCATTATTCCATTACTCGGATATTTCTTCTTTTTCGTTTTTTTTCATTAAAAGGAATTTGGAAACCACTTAATAAAGCTCTTGCTTCATGATCAGTATAAGCAGTAGTATTAAATATAACATCAAATCCTGTCATCAAAGGAAATGAATCATAATTTCCTTCAACCTCTGGAAATAAAGATAATGCGCTAGAAGGAAATCCCATAGCAATATTTCCATTTCCATCACCCGAACTTAATGGTACACCATACCATTCTTTCAATCGTGGAAGAACGATTTCAACTAATTTATCGACAAAAGTATACATCGGAGGACCTTTAATGTTCACCACACATCCAATAGGCATTCCTAAAAAAAAAAAAAAATTACACTTAATTTATTATATAATTACGCGTTTAAGTCGTGTTTAACTCGTGTTTAACTCGCGTTTAAACTGGCTTAAACTCGTTTAACCTCTTTTAATCGCGGTTACCCTCATTTAACCTTGTTTAGTCACGATTAACCTAATCGACTAACCTGCTCTTAATTTCCAATTAGCTACACCAGTTTTGGAATAAACGACATTTGGTCTTTCGGAAGTGATACATTGTAAAGCCATAAGACCACTTAATAAATGTTGTTTGTTATGTATAGCTTGTTTAATCATACAATGTATGTATATTTCATCTAACCTAGGAATAGTTTCGTGTGATTGAGGAGGGGGTACAGGTTGAGTTTTTTTACCACCTCTAGGTTTTATTGGTGGACGATTTTTCTTAAAAGGATTATCAACATCTTGTGCAGCTTTTGTTAAAGGAGGATGTTGTTTAATTCTTTTTTTAATAAATTCCCCTTCTGTTCGTGGATCTTTATAACTTAATATCATTAAATTATCAGATAAAGTATTATCATAAAATTCTTCCAATCTAATCATTGAACTTTTTCCTGGATAAAATTCCAAATTATCTATTGTATTAGTTGAAGGTTTTGATTTTCCTAAAGTATTAAGACATCTTGAAGTCAAGAATATTTTGGTTGTATTAATGAAAGGATATTTTTTAAAAGTATTTATTCTTAACATGATTTTCGATTGATTTCGATAAAATTTTTTAATTTTTTTAATTTTGACGATCGAGTCTTTCTATTTGATCAGAAATTTTTTTTTTAACGTAACACGAAATTTTCATACATAAATATCACCTGAAATTATTCGGGGGGGAATGTTTTTTTTTTTGTAACACTTTTACAATTTTTTTCCTAAAAATTCCAATAAGTGAAAGAAAAAAAAAAAAAAAAAAAAAAAAAAATGTCTAAATTTTTAGCATTAGCAGCAGGTGCTGTAACATCCGCTGCTATATTATATCAATTTAAATATGAAATTGAATCTAATACAGATCAAATTCGGAAAAATCTTTATAATAGTCAATATAAACTTGAAGCTTCTTTACCCTCGCATTTAAGAGATGAAGTAAGTTACATAATTAAGTAATTAATAATTTTTTGACTACTCATTTTAAAATTTATGATATTTTGGATATTTTGGTTACATTGAAATATTGAAATTGACGTTTTAAAAAAAATTTTTTATTATTTCTGTAAATATGAATAATTATATATTATTAATTTAATTAAAATTTAATTAATTAAAATTAAATTAAAATTAGAAACCAAAATTACCATCTACACAATTAGACGATAGACCAAAATTACCTTTACCATCAGTCTCTAAAACCGAACATTATGTTTCTAATCGTTTCATCCCTTCTTTTAAATCTGCATGGAATGAGAATGTTACGGGGATTGCTCAATATTTGATTAATTTTGATATTAATGAAACTACTAAATCTGGTTATAATAATGCTAAAACCTTTGTCGAAGAAAATTTAGTTAATAATAAGAAATAACAGATCATTTTTTGGGGGGAAATCCAAGTATATATGAAGAAAATTTGATACAAAAATCTAGGTAAAAAAAAATATTTAAGAAAAGGTAAATAAAAAAAAAAGAAAAAAGTTTTTTTTTTTTTTTGTCAAATCCATAATATTTCTTCTATAAAACTAAACATAAAAAGTATAAATAGAGATGATTTTATATGAGAAATATCGGAAATTTGGAAAATATTATCAAGTTATGTGATTATTGCATTTCATTTTTACAAAAAGGCAAGAATCGAGAAATGATTTTTCAAAAAAAAAAGAAAAAAAGAAAAAAAAAAAAGAAAAAAAACTATAAAAAATCATTTCACGTGATACAAAATTATTTACAGTATAAAGTTAAAATTATGGCCGAACCTTTTTGTCGAATAAGTTTATTTTCGCGACCTCTACAACACGGAAATAATCGGATGATAAATTTTATTTGTTTGTTCTGTATGGAATTCCGGATAAATGAAGGTTTGAAGAATTTATAGTATTTATGGTTTTTTTTATTCTTAAAATCGAACATTTCTAATTCTAAATTTCTTAATTCCTAATATATTTATTATAATAAATAAATATATATATATAAAAATACCGGGATAAATCTGAAAAAAAAAAATTAAACTTTACGAATAATATCTGGTAATAATAAAATTTCCTTTTCATTATAACATTTTTCATTATTTATATTTACACATGAAACTATTTGTTAAATACTTTCCACAAACACAACCCAAAAAAAGAATCTTTCTCCTTTTTTACTTTAGGAACTCATCATTATGATGACTAAAAATTATTTATATTTGTAAACTATTAAGGGATAAATAAACAAAGTTGACAAATTATTTACAATGATAAATGTTATCTAGGCGTCATGCATGGCTCAGGCCATTTTTTTTTTTCCATGCTAATTTGGTTTTTTTTTTTATTCAAACATTTTAGCGATTTTGATTATTAATCAAGAAATCAAACAAAAAAAAAGCACAATCACAAAAAAATTTTTTTGTAACAACAATTTTAAACTTTACTGCAAAAAAAAAAAGAACGCACCAACCCGCAAATCTTTAGAAAAACAATCCGATTTGATTCATTTATTTATTATAGATTACTTAATTTTGCTTATATATATGAATATAAATAAATATTTGATGAGTAAGTACAATGATTTACTAGATTCTTTTGTGTGCATCGGATATACCGTGAATTACCGGTAAAAAAAATTATAGTAAGTGAGTTTTTTTTTTTTTAATTTGATTGAAAAAAGAGGAAAGGTCTTACGAACGGTATTTTATTAATTATTTTGCGTTTGCATGGTGCAGAAAATGTGTGCGCGCTGAATAAGAAAATTTTTTTTTGTACGAGGATAATCTGCCCGATAATTTGTAAAAGATAAAGGTAGATTTAATTTTCGATTATGTAAAGGTAATTATTATTTCGGGTCATTCTCATGCGGAGAACTGATTTGCACAATACGGCTTTATCGAATAATGACATAGTAATTTTTCACCTAAAATTTAAGATTCATAGATGCATTACGTTTGGCTTATCAAAACGATCACGCTAAGACCCGGTTAAAATTTTAATTAATATAAGATAAGAAAGCCAAGTAGCCAATGGTAATCATTGACCTAAATAGTAAGTTCATTAAATTGAATGGATTTTATTCTCACAAGAAAAAAAAAAATTTTTTTTATATCGCAACAAATAATCAGTAGTTTTTTAATCTTTAATGTTAAATGGATGGAGATCAAACCCTGTCTCTTATACACATCTAGATGTGTATAAGAGACAGGTATAATTATGTATACATTATTATACTGTATATATTTATTTTAACTTTTTTTATTTTGATGGTATTAGCGTCCAAATACGAGAGAATCAACACCAAACAAACCATCTTCTGGGGATCTAACATTACCCCCAAAAGATAATACTCAACCATGTCTTCGAGAAGCGTGTCAAATTCAAACGTGTTTACAAAATAATAATTTTCAAGAATCACGTTGTCAAAAAGTGATCAATGAATTATTTAATTGTTGTGAAGAATTATTAAAAAGTGGGGGAGAGTCACCAAGTTGTTCTAGCGTAAATAATAAAAAAAAGGGGGGTGAGATTAAAACAATGTGAAAGCATTGTTTATTTGATTGTCTTTTTCACTTTTTGCTTATTTGCTTATTTGCTTATTTATGACTTTCCATATTAAAATAAAACTCGTTTTTTTTTTTTTGACGTGAAAGTAAGAACCAATATAAATGGGGAAGATTTCCTTATTTATATTATATACTGTACATAATATAATAATAATATATTATTTTTTTTTAATTGTTCGGCAACTTTTTTTTTTTTTTTGACAGTTGTTGAATGAAATGATCATACAAGATTTTCTTTTCGTAAAATATTCCAACAGGTTTTAATTAACGAACATCCTCTTTGAAAAAAAAAAAAAAAATTGATTTTCAAAGAATATTAAATAAGACAAATTGCGCAAGAAAGAGGAGATCCCAGAATTTCAAAGTCCCTTTATTTGGAAAAATTAAAAAAGAAACATTTATATAATGGGATTCTAATTGTGGTTAGTAAGATTATATAAATAATCGAACGGTAAAAATTTCCCGATCGAAATTTAAGGTTAAACTTATTCTAATTCTTTTTTTCTTTTTACAATTATAGTGAGATTTCAATAGTTGATTTGCATGCGACTCATGAAAACCAGGGTAGCCCAAAAAGTTTGTATCAAATATGTTAATTATAATGAGAATAGGTACAATCGTTTTGGCGTGGGCATCTCTTATAAAAGCAATAAAGCAAAGAGGTGCATACAATTGTTACATTTTTATATCATTTTCAAAATATAAAATTTTTTGAACATGGCGCACTTACCTGGGGGCACTTTTTCTCATGGAATTCCCATTTTCAGAATAATCAAATGAAATTTTAAAGAATCCATTCAATTAGATGTAAAAAAAATATTTTTTTTTTTTTTTTTTTT